CTCATCTCATTCTTACCCAGCTAGTACTTCCCTGTCTGGCTCTTCCTCATCTCACCCTCCCGTTCTCTCTGGTCAAAATCCTCCTTCTACTTCTCAGTTCTTCTCTCTTAAGTTCTCTAGGGTATTCAAACAAAAGCTCAAACAATAGTGATCCTCTGCCAGAGCAAGGTCACCAGGCTTGAATTCTTATGGGGTCATAAAGACAGGTAAGAATTTTCCTCAGGCAGTGACCATCAGACTTTCTTTTACAACCTGAAAATTGAGTGGTTAAAGGAGGAGGTCAATTGAGAGCTAATGATGGCTAGTATATCAAGAAGGGGATCTATGTGTTCAGTCTACATTCCTAGAAGTGGTTAGGTAAGAAGTTAGGGGTCTATAATGTTAGTAATAGAAAAGGAAGGTCTCAGATTGCACAAGAAATAAAGCTGTCCTTCTGACCTAGGGAACAGGCGTCATTTCCACAAGGGTGTTACCTTAGTTCAGGAGATCAGTTGGCCTTGGATATTTGATAGGTATTTTAGATAAATACACTGTTAGGAGTTCTTGGAAGCACACAAGAAAATCATTTTAGGAACCAGCTAAAATATATACAAAAGCTGAATTGTCATCAAGACTTCTTAAGCCGTGGCTTGACCTTTGGAAAAGTCCTTGACTTTTCCAAGTAGTAGTTTTTGTGATAGTAGCTGGGTTCTATTACATTTTCCTGTGGCTTGTGGCAGTTCTCCACCTCAGGACTTTACATACACTCCACCTCCCTGCCCCTTTGTCCTTCTGCCCCAAATGACTGGAACTGTCTACTTTGTTTGGTCAGCTCATGTGTCCTTTAGTCTAGTCTCAGTAACCAGGGCAAGCCCATCAGAGTCAACCCTGGGTCAGCATTCCACTTTGTTCCATTCTCTTATTTGTGTGACTTTTATGTTCTGAAAACAAATTCCATGGAGACAATATCTCATTATCTTTGTTAGGGTTTGAATGTTTATTTCACCCCCAAGTTTGTATGTTGAAACCTAATCCCCAAGGTAATAATATTAGAAAGTAGACTTTAGAAGAGGATTATGAGGGTGGAGCCCTCATGAATGGGATTTTCTTAATTATATGGGAGGCCCGTGGGAGAGTAAGCCTGCCCCTTCTGCGGTATGAGAATGCATAGAAGTCGTTCATGAGGAATGGGCCCTTACTAGGTAGCAAATGTGCTCATGCTCATCTTGATGTATCAGCTTGCAGACTGTTAGCAATACATCCCCATTGTTTCTGCATTATCCAGTCTGATGCATTGGTGTTATAGCAGCTAGAATAGGCTAAGACATACTTGATCACTACTGAATCCACAATGTCTTTTCCCACTTCTGGAACATAGTGGGTCTCCAGTAAATATGATGGTATGTGTAGGAAAGCTGAAGTAATGAGAATTCAGAGGCCCTTTGGACATTTTGTTTTGTTTTGTGACAGGGTTTCTCTGTGTAGTTTTGCACCTTTCCTGGAACTCACTTGGTAGCCCAGGCTGGCCTCGAACTCACAGAGATCCACCTGGCTCTGCCTCCCGAGTGCTGGGATTAAAGACGAGCGCCACCACCGCCCACCTCCGCCCAGCCCCTCTGGACATTTTGTGATCGAGCCCTCTGCTTTCTTGTTTCTCCTCTCTCTCTCTCTCTCTCTCTCTCTCTCTCTCTCTCTCTCTCTCTCTCTCTCTCTTTCTCTCGATGCTAAGAATTAGGCCCACATCCTTGCATGATATCTTTCACTGAGATATATCCCAGCCTGGACTTCTGTTTCCTGATGCACGGTTTTTCAGCCTTCACCATGAGACTGGTGTTGGTGTAGCTAGCAAAGGCCTACCAGGCCCAGAGGGAATGACCAGAATGAATAGATGCTGGATTGATGCCCAGGTTTTCTTGCTGTGGGGATTCTGGGAGACATATAGACAAGGGCATCCTTATACATAGAGAGGTGGTTAGGGCCCCCACAAGATAGGTTGTCTTCATGGGGAGAATTCTAGCCTGAGAGGAGGGAGGGGAAGACCCTTTCAGTGCAGCCATGACAGCCCTATGGCTCTTCCTACCCTCTTGAGCACAGTCAATTCGATGAACATGCTTCCCTCTTTCCAGTTGTCTCCGTGGACCAGACCCAGTGAGCTCCACTCTGTGAGGACAACAGATGGCCCGTGAATTCCTGAATGGCTGCAGCTGCTCACTGCTCCAGGTGGGGAGCACAGCCAGGAGAGCCCGGAAGTTTCAGATCACACAGGGCTGGCCGCAGTCTCTTCCATGAACGTGCTGATTTCAGAGGTGATTCAGAATGTGACAGCAGCATTTAGCAGGTGCACTCAGGGGGATGCTAAATGCACAGACAGATGTACCAGCTACTTTCTTTCCACGCAGTCTCACCCTGAATGACCCTGGTCCTCTGTGCTTACACTTTTACCGTTTGAGAAGAATGGCGTTCAGTGTGCTGGCTCACACACTGAGTTCTCACCGATTTCTCCCCTGTGGTTTAGAAAGCTTGCCTCCAGCACACGGAAGCCAAGGTTATTTGAATAGCAGCTTTTGAATAAAAGCAAATAGTCCCTTAGAGGGGAAAAAAAAAACCCAAAACCTCAGCTAACATTTCTATTTCCAAAACTCTTGCCTAGACATTTGTGTACCACAAACAGGTTGACCCAGCTTGTTGTTGGACTCTACTAGGGTCTAAAGAGGTACCTGTTATTTGTACCTAGGGTGGATTTTCTGGGGGTCTGCTACCAGATTCATGTAGCTACTGCTCCTTCCTCAATTCACAGCCCAGGCTTGAGTGGCAAGCATGCCCATTAGGGATTCCTTTTCCCATAGCCTTGCTTTAGACATCTGCACAGGATTCATCGTGGTGCCCACAGGCAGGGGTGTCCCCAGTGAGAAGCTGCTGGCCTTCCCGGAGCTTCCTGGCCCGTGGCTGTGTCTGTGTTTTCTACCATCATTGATTGGGACAGTCCTTGTGCTCCCTGTTAAGGGGGCGGGGGTGGGGGGGTCTTTCTGGCTGCTAACTGCTAATGGGAGGAGTCTGTGTCTGTGTGTCTGCTGTCTGCCGGCACATCTGTTGACTTCCTTCCCTCTCGTTACCCTGGGGTTGGGTACTAGGTCAGACAAGGGATGTGGTAGCTGCACTGTCCCAGCTCGGCTTCTCATTCCACCTCTCGAGATGAATCAGTGTCCTGGCTCACTGTGTTATCTTTACAGTGGAGTCTGAGTGAGGAATATCTAGTTAGCCACCATGTCAGTGTGAGATTTTGACATTGCCAGTTGATGACCAGAACAGGAGCCCACCTCCTGTCAACTCCCTTGCCCATGACATGCTCCGTGGAGCTTACGTCTCATTTGAGGGCTTGCTTGCTATTCGTGACTCCTATGGCCTCCCTGTCTTCCCCCAGGGTTCCCTGATAACAGTCATTCCTTAGGCCTTGCCTGCAGACTGACAGCCCAGGGACTCCCTGAAGTGGGTGTTTTCAAAATTAGTCCAAGGAAGAAGGAACTTTAAAGGCACTCATGACTTAAGGTAGGTTCTGAAAATCTAACATTAAATAAAAGGTGAAAGTTGTCTGTGGACAGACGAGCAGTGTGAATCCCTGGCAGTCTGTCTTTGCTGCCACCTTGAAGTGCGCGCTTTCCCTGTGGAGACTGAACCCTGTTACTGAGGCAGTGGTCTCTCTAGGCCTGCCCCTCCCACCCCAACACCATCCTAAATGCCAAATACTGATTCTGGCAGGTTTAGATTAACAAAAAACAAAAGTGAGTTTGTTCCAAGTGGGAATGTACCTGGATTCCAGGAATTTAGGAATGATCTATTTTAAATGAGGAAGAGCTGTCGAAGGCCAGGCTGTCTTGTTGGGTGACCTTTTGGTAGTGTCATGATATTCTTTTTCATAACATTGAAATCATACCCCCAGGAGGGCAAATTTGACACAATAGTTTAGGATACTGCTGGAGAACCCAAGCCTGGTGGTTAAGTAGACTCTCAGGAGAACCCGTTCTTTCCCACAGAATCTCTTCTTCCAAGGCTTGTTAGCTCTCTGGGAATCAGAGAAAGGTGTTCCCTAATTATCCTGCTACAGGATGAAGGGAACGCTGCTCTACAGCACAGCATGGAAGTCTGAGAGCATCACTGTGAGGGCTGGGCCTCTGCCTGTGCCTGCAGCCTGGGCGCTGATCCCTAAGGGTGTCTGTGCAGGATGATGGCCCCACCGTGTTTGCCTGAGAGGTGTCATGCCTCTCCTCTGTGGTAACAACGAGCTTCAGATACCTTCACTGCAGTGGTTGGAGAATCAAGTCCAGGGATCTGTGAGGGGCATCTCACCGCAGTCCCACACACGATAAGTGCAAAGATATATCTTAGAAGTCAACATGTAACCCCAGGGTGAGCTGTTTCTGCTTCTGTGGACCTTGCTCCACAGGAGTCACATGGCTGAGGCCAGCTGGAAGTCAGGCCATGGGATAAGAGGTGTGAATGAAGGTTCCCAGTTGCTATAGATAAGCAGGCACATGTTTCCCGATAGCCAGGGGCTCTTCCCCATCAATGCTAACCGCTTCAGCTAGGATCTCAAAGCCACCAAGTGAAATGGGGCAAGTGGGTTCCTTGATTGTATAGGAGGCCAGTGGGAGCTGTATCTGAAGCAGAGAGGCCTGGGAACAGGATCTTGTGGTTATGTTGGCAGAACCTAGCAGGTGTCAGATAGGTGGGGAGGAAGAAAACTGGCAAGAACTTGTCTTTGGGAAATTTCTGCCAGCACATGGAGCAAGGGATTTTTCCAGAGAGGAAAGACATGGTAGTTAAGGTGGGAAGTCAGCTTCCTAAACTCAAGGAGCAGAGATCTTTGGGAATTATTGTTGACCTCTTCTTCAGCCCTGCCTCAGTTCTTTGGGGGCCATCAGGTTTGGAATGAGCTCAGAGTCATACAATAAGCACCATGACTAATGTGGTTCATATGTAGGAGTAGTGACCCACGGACATATTGGCCAGCATCAGACTTGGCATTAAATTATAAACCCATGTTTTAAATTTATTAGTCAAGAACTTCCAGAAAATGATTTGAAGAATTTGATGAACTTTAGTGAAATCAACTGTCTGTGGAGATGGAGATGTCCTTGAGATGTGAAGGGCAGTCCCCTCACATTTAGGTCACCATGATAGAAACCTGAATGAGGTTAGTATCTACCTAATTCCAGTACATATCAGCTCTGGCTTGAGGGGATCTTTAGGAGTGTACCCACTCTTTGATACCTTCTATAGCTTCTCATTGGCACAGCAGTGCCCTGACTCCCCCAGACCACTGGTCTCTCCTAGCCAGTTGGGGGGTGTTTCAGAAACACAAATAAGGCAAGTGTGCAACAGGAACCAGCCCACCGCCGAGCCCTGAGACAGTCATTCCCTGCTGCCTCTTATCCTTACCTGCTCGACTCACTATGGGTCCTAACCAAGACAGGATTCCCCTGCCAAGGAGAAGAGCTGGTCCTGCCTGTGAAGGCCTGGGGTGTGGAAAGCCAGGCCAAGTGCCCATCTCTCGTGACAGTTGCTGCATTTCCTGTTACCCCAGACATCCAGGCGTAACAGCAGGCTCCCTCCTTAGATTCCTGATTGCAGCTTACCTACTGGGTGCTGCGAACCTGCTGGGTTTTTTTCCTGAGTGGGGATGGCATCTCATTTCCCATGCCCTGCTAGACCTGCTTCACCATAGAAAGATGCTTGAGACCATAACTGGTACCTTATCACTGTGGGACCCCCCCCCCCCCACCATACCACACTACACTCACACCCACACCCACACACACTCACTCACAGACATGTGCATACAGCACACATACACATCACACATATGTACACATACCACAAATCACATACCACACACATATACACAAACACACATACACACACACCCCCCTCACTGCCTAAACCACTTCTCAAGATTTAGTTCAGGTGCCAAGTAAAGGATCCCCTCTTCTATGTGGGGGCCACTAATAAGTGTAACTGTTCATCTCAGGCCACTTTCTCCTCATCAGCCCAGGGACCTGGGAACCCAGTCTGCGGGGGGGGGGGGGGGGGGGGGGGGGGGGTTAGGCCTGAGGTCCAGAAGCTGTTCCCTTGGCTACCTTGGTTTCTCCCTGTAGATCCCAGGGAAAATGCTCCAGGACCTGGCAGGAAAGTGCTTCTCTTTTCAAAGGCTGGTTGAGAACTACGGACACTCGGGGTGTGGGGGTGTGGTAGAGGTGTGGGGGAGCGTGTCAACATCTCTCCAAGACTGGGCTCAGCTTATCTTTCTTACTTAAGATTCTTTGACCTGATCATCAGTCCTCCAGGCTGGAAGAGAAAAGGTTCCAAGGCTGTTGACCTCAAGGCCCTTCTCTGCTTCCTAGTTCTCCTACCGACTTTCTCACCTCCTGTTCACAGGGCCTACCTTCTGGGTCCTGCCACCATGTTGGAGCTGTTGTGTAGGAGGGAGGTCCAGAGGCCTCTCGGTACCAATCTAAGACTCTGGTCCACCCTTGGCCATCTGTCACTTCTGTTTCATAGTCCACTTTCCTCCTGGGAGCCCCCAAGCAACAACTGAGGCAGATGTTTTCTTGTTTGTTAGTCTCTCTTGCATTTTGGAGACAGGGCTATATAGCCCAGGCTGGCCTCAGCTTCACAATTCTGCCTCTGCCTGCCAAGTGCTAGGATGCATCAGTCCACCAGGCTCCTATATTAAATGCATCACTCCACCAAATTCCTATATTAACACATTCCTCGCTTCCTTTCCCCGCTGCTGCCCTGTGTTGGTACCAATTAGTTCATCTGGCTCTCTGAAATTCACGTGTTCAGGACCACTTCACAGGTTCTTTGAAGTTCTTGGACCACAAAGTCCTACCAAAAGCACAACTGCTGGGATTCCTTTTTGAAGTGCAAGGCACGGTATGACTAGGAGTCCCAGGCAGTTGTGAGGACAGCATTCATTGTGTATGCTCCTAGGTCCATTGTCAGTGTCCCAGGGTCATGCTAATGAACTCAATTACCCTGTAAGCCGTAGTGTCCACACAACATAGAAGAGGAAAACACACACGCACTAGGAAGTAACAGAGGTGAACAAGGGGCCTTGCAAAGAAGTTATTAGTAAGTGGCTGTGGCCTCAGACTAAAAGGTGTTGTCCCTGACTTGGGTAACTTTGGCCTGGGAGGAGACCTCTGTGAACTCATCCCTAGCTGTGGGCCTGAGCGTCCATGGACAGATTGCGCTCCCTCAATCTACAGGCCTCGGTGGTAAGAATCAGGGGTGATGTTGTCAGTCCCTAGAGGAGCCAAAATCCGGGAGGGAAGTGAACAGGTGCCGGTAATCAGAGAGAGGGTAGATGGAACCCTAGAACTCTCTCTGGGAACCCCACCCTGGCTACAGCCTTAGCTAATGCGCCCACTCACTGAGGCCTAGAAAGCACTGCCTATGAAGGCTAGGCAAGGCCACTTGCTCAGAGGCCCCGAAGAGGAGACGTGAGGGCTCAATCCACTGTTCCTCTCCATAGAGCTCCTGTGCTCCTGGGGCCCCACAAAGCTTGCTCAACTAATTGGCCTCTCTGGCCGCCCAGGCTCCTCGGTGTCTGGTAAGAAGAGGCTCTGGGTAGAACGCAGACTTCACATTGAGCCCCTGGTTGCCCGGGACACACTCAGTCCATTGGGTTCATCCCCTTCATCCTGCTCAGCCTCAGCATCTCTCCCAGCCTCAGCACACCCCCCAAGCAAAGGAGGGCTGGGAAGGTACTGCAGGAGCCGCCCATTCCACTTCATTTCTGCCAGCTCCTTGGCACAGCAGCTGGGTGTGTTGGTCTCATAGGTGTCGTGGAAGGTGTTGTAGTCCACCTCATAAAAGCCTTTTTCCAAGGTGAGGACTGGTGTGAATCGGTGACCCCAGAGCACCTCTGTGTCCATGTAAGAGCTTCGTGCTTGGCAAGTCATGCCTAGGGAAGCAGAAACCACATGCATTAAGATGCAACCATTTATTGATCCATCCATCTGTCCATCCATCCATCCATCCATCCATCCATCCATCCACCCACTCACCTCCACATCCATCTATCCATCTAGTCATCTATTCATGTAACTATCCATTCATTATCTGTCTGTCCATCTACTCAATCACACCCATCTCCAGCCATTAAATCATCTATTCATCTGTGGTGCCTTCAATGAGAATGGCCCCCATAAGCTCATATATTTGAATGTTTGGCTTGTTTGGTAGTCTGTTTAGAAAGGATTGGGAGGTGTGGCTTTGTTGGAAGGTTGTGTTTCTGGGGCTTGGAATTGAGGTTTCAAAAGCCTGTATCAGGCACCAGTCTTTCTCTCTGTTTGTCTCTCTCTGTCTCTCCCTCTCTCTCTCTGTCTTTCTGTCTCTGTCTCTCTGTCTCTCTGTCTCTCTGTCTCCCCACCCTTGCCTGCTGCCTGTGGATAAGATGTGAGTTCTCAGCTCCAGCTCCAGCACCATGCCTGCCTGCCTGCTGCCGCCGTGCTCCCTGCCATGATGGAAATGGACTAACCCTCTGAAGCTGCAAGCAAGCAATCCAATGAAATGCTTTCTTTTATGAGTTGCCTTGGTCATGGTGTTTCTTCACAGCAAGAGAAGAGTAACTAAGACACCATCCATTCCTCCAATTATCCATCTATCCAACCGTCTGTTCATCCAATCATTTTTTTTCAAGCGCCTCTTGAACATCTACTTTGTGCCAAGGATCTGGAAGGTGAAGCTGACTATAAGATGGTCCTTGTGGAGGAGCTCAAACCACAATAGGGAAGAAAAAGACAAGTGCCCTGGCGAGATTCTGGAGTACATTTCTAGATGCTAAAGGGGGACACGAGACACTTGGAGACAAGGACACAGTTCTTGAGAGCAGCGTTTAGAAGGCTGAGACTGGGAAGGAGGCAGGACAAGGCTTTGAACAAGGTTAAGTTCAGAGTGACGAATCAGGGAGCTACTGACAGACATTCAGAACATCGGGAAATGGTACTGAGTGAACATACAAACAGAAGCCTGCACACTCATGAACACATACATGCTGACATACATGTACATGTATCCATACACAAACATGCACAGGAAGGAGAAGCAAACTAACGCCCAGCCTGGCTTCTGATTTAGGATGCTCCGAAGCCTCTCGTCCCCCCCGCCACGGCTGTGTTATTTTTAGGTGTTGCTTTCTCTCCAGAGAGGGAGGGCAGTTTTGTTTATGGATGAGGAAGCCTCTGTGCTTAGGGTCACAGAAAAGCAAATTTTTGTTTAATCTCTGCTCAAGGAAGTACTAGCTTGTGCTCTCTGGGCACTGAAGGAGAGCCTTCTCCAGCTCCCACTCCAGCCCTTGTCAACAACCAGTCTGGGCTCCCCAAAGCATCCCATACATGGTGGGCTTATATAGCCCACTCTTTGCGTTCAGGGGGATGCCTGCCCCAGCCAGGTCAGCCCAGTAGAGGTAGAACACCCGAACTGGATACTGACCAGTCTAGCCCAGGCCCAGTGCCTGCAGGCTCCCAGGGACTCTGAAAAGACCCTGGCACAGGACTCCCGTAAGAGTGCCTGCAGAAGTCCTGTGGGACTCTCCGCCTCGTTCTTCCTGTTCATCCTTTAGGGAAATGGTCCTGGTTATGCTGTAGCCAGGATGCTGACTGCTTGCACCTGTTACCTTTCAAGGCACAGATCAGCTCTGTGCTGCACCTGTGGCACTCCATGTGGTCCTTTCGTGTTCCCACCAGCACATGAGATTGACTCTCCTCATTTGCAGACAAGTCAAGCAACGTGCCCAGACTCACATCGGAAGGGTGTGGAAGAACTATGCTGCTCAACTCAAGCTAGGCCCGAGTTCAGGCCAAGGCTGGGTTCCCTGAGCATAACAATGAAACAATGCATGCCATTTGTGAGTAGGTGGTCTTGGGCTCCCTCATGGTTCCACAGACAGAGAACAAAGATTAGCTAGCATAGGTTTTGGGTGAAGAAGCCAAGCAGTTAGGACAGGACAGTATAGGCCAGGGCTTTCAGGGAAATATGAAAGGAGCCCGCAAATGGGATCAGCACCCACTCCCTCTGCTGGGTGGTCTGTGGGTGCTCCCCTGCTGCACACTGTGGCAGTGAGAACATCAAGATGAGACTTGTCTCTGCCCGATCCCTCCTCCAGGACCTCAGAGAGGAGCTCCTTCCCCAGAAAGTGATCCTGTGTTCTATCGTGACCCTGTTACCAAGGACACAGTGACCCTAGAGTCCCCATCTACACGAATGCGCTTCCTGCTTCCTGACTGGCCTCAGCCCCAGGGGCTCCTCCAGCTGCCACCATATGCTTCCTGGCTAGGCTCCGGCCCCCCAGCAGATGGCCAGGCAGCCTTAGGCATAGTCTCTAGGGCCCACCATCGTCCTGCCTGACTCTGACTTGGAAATGGGAAGGCTTGTGGAGGTGCTGTCTGAGTCTCCCAGCCAGTAGCCAGATTCTCAAGGGCTGATAGGTATATTTGGTCACCTTTAACAAGCCTCTAACATCTTAGGGACCAGTGTGGTGTGCAGAAAAGGCTGGAGACTTGTAAATGAAAGCCCCAAGTATGAACACTTAATGTCTGCCTGGCACTTTTGAGGTTCAGCATCCATATCTGTAAAGGGGGTGAGAAGCACATAAACACTATTTGTAAGGTTTTGAAGAAGATGCGTTATTCTGAGCATGGGGGAGTTTTGAACAAATCGTCACTAGGGTTAGCCTGCTGCTCAGTCTAATGGTGAATTAAAGAGAAGGAAGGTCACGGAAGATAGTCACAGCATTTGACCAGTGGCCCCCTCCTTCCCAAGAAGCAGGAGGTCCAACCATGAGGCTGGTATCTGTGGTTCTGAACTAGAGCTCAGGTCCTCTTAGACCTTGGACTCACTGAGTTACCTCAGAGAGATCTGCCACAGAAGAAGGAAAGCTAGGGGACAGGTTGCTCCTGAGGGAGGGTGGCTGGGATAGCATCTCTCCCAGGTCTGGAGTGTAGGTGCTCTTTAAAAATGGGTTGTGCTGGGATACCCATGAACTTAGGAAAGGCTGCATGCTGGGTACTATCTACCCTGCTTAATCTTTACAGTCAACACAAACCAGAATCACCTGGGAAGAGGCACTCTCAATTGTCTCCATCAGATCAGCCTGTGGGAATGTCTCGGGGGTGTATTTTGATTGATTATTGCCATCGGAGGATCCAGCCCACCATGGGTGATACTATCCCTAGGCAGGTGGGCCTGTGCTGTATATAAGAAAGCAAGTTAAGCAAGCAAGAGGGAGCAAGCCAGTAAGCAGCCTTCCTTCATGGTTTCTGCTTTAATTTCCTCCCTGCTGGAGGTCCTGTCCTGAGTTCCCTCCATGATGGACCGTGACCTATAAGATGAGTAAACCTTTTCCTTTCCAAGTTGCTTTAGGTCGTATTCTAGGTGATACTCTATTTTCTATCACAGAAACCGAAAACAACACCATCCTCTCCTAATGATGAGGCCCACAACATGTATAGCAGTGGTTCTCAACCTGTAGGTGGTGACCCTACAGGAGTCACACATCAGATATCCTGCATATCAGATGTTTGCATTTTGATTCATAAGAGCAGCAAGCATACAGGTGTGAAGTAGCAACAAAATACTTTATGGTTGGGGTCACCACAACATGGGGAACTGCGTTAAAGGGTCACAGTGTTGGGAAGGTTGAGGACCACTGGTAGGGCCGTGACGTCTCACTCTAAAATACCATCTCTTTTAGTCAGCCAGGCTTCCCAGTCACCCCATACCTGTCTTAGGACTGGAAGCACTTTGACCTGTTGGTGTAAGGGCTGGCTCTGGGGTCCTGCTTGGTGGTGCTTGCTCACATCTGTGCTTCTGTTTCTAAACCCCGAATTCTCCCTGTGGAGGTGTGGAAGGACCCCAGGGCTGTAATATGTTTAAAGTCTAGAATCACGCCTAGGAATTGGAGAGCTCAGCCCATGTTAGCTATTGTTAGTGTTCTATCTTGGGTAATTGCCCCTCGGGTCACGCTGGGGATGGAACAGGGTGTCCTCACTGTCATTTGGTTAATTCTTACACACAAATGCGTACATTCTAGAGCCACAGTGGTCTAAGCTCCAGGGAACAGGAAGAGGATGAGGTAGCTGAGGAGGGCAAAACATCTTCTTACCTGTTGCTTCTACCATTCCTTCTAAGATGACAACAACTTCAAACTCTTCCTGTTCCAGCTGAGCACGCGACATCTCCCAGAAAGGGCTCTTCTCATTGATCTCATGGGAGATGATGAGCGGGGGACACCAGGAAGAGACGGTCATCACCGGTGTCAAAGCCCACATTAATGTCCGTCTGGTTCAAGGGGATGAATTCCCCTTCTTTGGTCTGCCGGGATTTGATTAGCTTGGCACGGATGGAGGCCTCCACGATGTGGGAGTTTCGGAGGTCACCTACCCGGAACATGAGGCACAGCTTCTCATCCCGCATGGAGATGACAGCGTTGTTGGAAAACATGAGGGTCTCTGCTCTCTTCTTTGGCTGGCTGATTTTCACAAACATGCAACCCACCATGAAGGCATTAACGATAGAGCCCAGAATGGCCTGCACCAGGAGGAGTATGATCCCCTCCGGGCACTTCTCAGTGATGACTCTGAAGCCATAGCCAATGGTTGTTTCTGTCTCAATGGAGAACAGGAAAGCAGACACAAAGCCACTGAGGTTTTCAACACAAGGAATCCACTCTTGGTCACCCACATGGTCCAGATCACCTCGGACATAAGCAATGAGCCACCAGATGAAGCCAAAGAACAGCCATGTGATAGTGTAGACCATAGTGAAGACCAGAAGGTTGAAGCGCCATTTGAGGTCCACCAGGGGTGGTGAAGAGGTCACTTAGGTAGCGGTAGGTTTCCTGAACGTTGCCGTGATGCACGTTACACTTCCCGCTCTTTTCCATGTAGCGCTGACGCGGCTTTTTGCCTTCTGCCAGCAGGCGAGTGCGGTCTGTGGCGATCGGTGTGTAATCCCGTGCCTGCTTGGGAATCTTCTTGTGGTCCTGGAAAGTGACTCCTATCTCCATGTCTTTGCTCATGGCGTTCCTGGAATTGCCAGCCATAGCTGAGACACAATGGATTAAAACGATAACATCATTAGTGGTGTGCCCTGTTCTGATTAGTACAGACCTGGGACTGGAGGCTGTTCCCTTCTGGGGATTTCTTTGTATCCCTGGTGACACTGAAGAACATAGTCTATGACCCATGCTCAGGAGTTTGTTGAATGAATAAAACTGGGGGGGCAATTACACATGAAGTGTTTAAGATATTTGAAGAAACCTGAGAGCAATTTGAAACATAATAATTGCCACAGTTTATTAAATGCTTGTTATGTTTCATGGATTGTCACTTAGGATTAATGTAATAGCCTGTTGGAGTTAGTGACTGCAACCCCCATTATATACTGTGTATAGAGTGCATTTCTTTCTTTTAAAAAAGATTTAGTTTTAAAAAATATGTTTGCATGTTTTGCCTGTGTGTGTATGTGCACTGTGTGCATGCCTGGTGGCTATGGAGCCAGAAAAGGCATCAGATCCTCTGGGAATGGAGTTACAGACAGTTGTGAGCTGCCACGTGAGTGGTGGAACTGAACTCAGGCCCTCTGCAAGAGCAGCAAGTGCTCTTAACCGCTGAGCCGTTTCTCCATCCCCTCGTGTGGATGTCTCATATTTTGTTAGGATACAAGGTCCTCACGTGCAGGTTTTGTGTCTATTTGTTCCTTGCTGCATTCCAAACACAAAAACAGGATGGATCACCTGATACACACTGGTTCAAAAGCACTGCTGCATGAAGAATGGAAAGATTAAGAAACCAGAAGAGAGTGTGAAGGCTGCTGTCTGGATTCCTACTCACCTGGCCCCAAGCCTGTGCTGTTCTTTAAAGGCCCCTGCCTCCCTTCTTCTTTTTCCTTGGGGAGCCTTTAGCAGCTGATGGAAAGGGAAAGGCAGCATATGTCTGCTCCACTGAGTGGTCACTCCTGCTGTCTGTATGGGGAGTCTGGGCCGGCCGTCTGAGCACTTATTAAAATGACAAACCACTGTGTAGATGCACCCTTGAAAAAATCTGATCTAGTTAGTCCTGGAGAAATTGAGATGGATGAGATGTTCGTGCCCCGAGGCTTTCAAAAGGACTGCTTTTAGAGGGCATGGCACACTTCAAAGAGACACGTGGACACCTGGAAGATTCCATCTGTTGCCTTCCTGACATTCTGCTCAAGCTCATTTAAAATGCTTTGAGACTCTGATAAAGATAGGAAAGACTGTGGACTCCTCTGACTATTGAGAACAGCTTACTCAGGGGGAGAGGTTGAGCTAAGAAATGTTCCTCCATTTGCTTGTTTAATCCTATCACAAGTGATTAGATGGTTATATATAATCTGTCCATTTTCCTTTTGTTGTTGCTAAGGTTTTTGCTTGCTTATACTTGGTTTTTTCAGACAGTCTCCGATTGGTAGGGAAGCTACTGTGTAGCTCAGACTGACCTCGAACCCTGGTCCTTCTGTTGAGGCTGTGGTGCTGATGTTGCTGGGGGCGTGCCACTGTGCTGAGCTCATCTTCCCATTGTTCAGTCGAGGAAATGATGCTTGAAGCAGCATGTGGCCGGTTTGGGTTCGGAATTTGATTTTATCTTGCTGTACCCCAGAGGCTTAACCCTGACGACTTGGTGATGTCCTATGGCTCAAGCTTTGGCTAACAGACTGCTATTTCAAGAATCTTCTTTGAGCTCTAACCCTGGCATATGTCATCGTAGGTCATTCTTCATAAACCAACTTTCCTGGGTTTCACAAGAACACCCTTTCCCAATGTATAATTCTCCTCGGCTTCCATTTTCTTTGTTATACTGGCTGAGAAACAAAGTGTCTTGACCACTCTGTGTTATCCGGTCTAGTAAAATTGTTCTCTTGCAGGCTTGAATCTAAGCACACACTGTGGATTGTTCACCTGGGGTTTGGTATGTCTGTCTGTCTTTGGAATCTAGTTGGAGGCAGTCTCTTGTGGGAAGTTCCCTAACACTAGTTTTTGGGACTTTATGGAACTCCTGGGAACCATTCTGATAAGTGGTCATGAAACTGTTAGGTAGCCAGTCAGAAATTAGCAGGCCTGGCAGACATGAGGACTGGATCCGTTCTTTATAATCAGCATCCTGTGAAGCCCGGGACTCTAGTTATGGGTTGGAGGAAAGGGACCTGAGTCAAATCTGGTTCTTCCATGGGACATCCTGAACTGCCTGAGGACATTTGTTTATAACTATTTAAAGCTGGTTCCAGGTCAGCAGTATGCATTCCATACATACCAATGCCAACTCCTGTAAGTTTCAGCCAAATTGGCCGTCAATCATCTGGACAGGAAAATACCCCTTGGGGAAGCTGTTGTCCTTCAGCTGTCAACCTGACACAATCTAGTGTCACCTGAGGACAGAGTCTCAAGAGATTGCCTACATCAGATTGGCTTGTGGCCATGTCTGTGAGAGATTGTCTTAACTGATGATTGATATGGCAGAGCATAGCCCACTGTGAGCAGCACTATCCCTAGGCAGGTGGGTCTGAGCTGTAGAAGAAAGCTAGATGAACACGAGCCAGGGAGCAAGTCAGAGAGTGAGCTAGCAATCAGAATTCTTTTGCTTCAGGTTCCTGCCCTGAGTTCCCGTCCTGACTTCCCTCAATGATGGAAGGTGACCTGGGAGTTAGAAACCAAATGAACCCTTTCCCCTCACAGGTTACTCTTGGTCAGGGCTTTTTTTGTTTTTATTTTTTGTTTATTCGTTTGTTTTTTTTTGAGACAGGGTTTTCTCTGTGTAGCTTTGCCGCCTTTCCTAGATCTCGCTCTGTAGACCAGACTGGCCTCGAACTCACAGAGATCCGTCTGCCTCTGCCTCCCGAGTGCTGGGATTAAAGGCGTGTGCTACCACCACCCCAGCCTTGGTCAGGGTACTTTATCAATGCAAAAGAGATGAAGCCAGAGCAGCTGTCTACTTCAGGGCCACTAGAAAGAGTGTGGTCTAGCTAAAATGTAAATCGACACAAGTTCTCTGTGGTCATGGCTCATTCTCACCCCTTGAGGGTGTCCCGTGTTACTCTAATAAACTAATAGTCTTCTAACTATATCTCTATGTCTTATCTGAATTCTTTTGACAGAGATCACAAGACTAGAGATGAGTGGGGACAAGAGCAAAATACCAGTGACATAGACCACTGAACCACCTTCCCATTGGCCAATCAAGGTAATTTTGGCCATCTTGAGAAATCTTAGGACTCTCGCGCCTTTTTCCTTTGCTACCTGGGTGGCTGCAGCAATTTCAAGGTGACCTTTAAAATGTCATATTGAAGAGTCATCCATTTGAAGGGCCATTTGTCTCCGACATCCATTGGCCATTTCCCTCTCTGCACACAGCCACCTGCTCCCTGCTTTCACATGTGGTAGTTACAAAGATAAATGAAATAAAAAGGGAAATGCTTGGGCCATCTTTATAGACTATGGGATTTTGTTCTGCCCCTTGGGTGAGTCTTTGTACCCAAAACCTGACCAGAGATTCCTAGAGCTGGTGAACTAGGCTGGTAACCCTGAAGCCCCTGCACTCCTGGGGACTGGGTTGTGGCCATCCACACTGGCTTCCAGCTGAGTGTTTTAATGAGCTCTCCCAGCCACACATGCTGAGCAGGGCTAAGGCAGGGCCATGAGAATGAGTCCCTGTTCAGGGCACTTGAGAAAGTGTGTTCTGCCCTTGGCTCTGCTGATTTTCTGTACTGTTTCCTTCCTATTTTTAAATACACTTTATGCCTTCTTATAGGAGAGGGCCCTGTGATGTCTTAGAAGGAAGATTTTTTTTTTTTTTTTTAGGACACCTCTACCCAGGTCTGAAAAAGTTGTGCGCTAGGAGAAGGAGAAATAGGCTGCATATTTCTGATTTAAGAGCTATGCATATGCCTAAAATACTCCTTGTATCACCCAGTGTGTGATGACTAAGTTCTGTACTCAGCTTGGTGGGGTTAAGAATCCCGTAGGTCATTAATGAGACACAACTTTGGGCTTGTCTGTGAGGGTGTCTTCAGAGAGGTAAACCGGAAGAGGGAAGACTCACCCTGAATGTGGGCAGCAGTGCCCATGGCCTGGAGCTCCAGGTTGAGTCATAAAGGAGAAGAAGAAAGCACATGAGCCACAGAAGTCCCACCCCTTTCCCTGATTCCTGGTCTGCCCAGATGTGAGCTAGCTCTCACTGCCTGTGCTTCCAGCTGCTTGGGCAGCATGCCTTCTCCACTGTGATGGGCTATCCTTTCAAGCCCTGAGACAAACTAACCTCTCCTTCAAGCTGCTTCCTGTCACGTGTTCGATCTCAGCTACCAGTACGCAGGGTAGGACTTGGGGTTGAGTTCAATATGCAGTGAACTTACTCTGTGGGCCACAGAAAAACAGTTCTATCTGTATCGGCCTCAGTTTCCTATGCTGTATATCTCAGCTACTATTCTCTGTCCTTCTAGCCTGGGGGCCACATGGGGAACCCTACAAAGGATACATGATACAAATATAAATAAAATGTGGTCCCACGCCACATAAAGTGCTATGACTAATGACAGACTGCATATATAAATAACACTGGTCCCCCAGGACAATGTCAAGTAGTAATACAGCCTGTACTCAGCCATCTAAATTTGTATAAACAAGCTCTACAAAATCACCTAATGGTGCATTTTCTTCAGACTGTACCCCTGTCATTAAGCTGGGTGCTATATATATTTATAATCTCGCATTCCTTGAATTTAAATGCAGTGTGGTACTCAATTTTCCCAAATTTTAAACATACAGAGAGAAGAAACATCTAAAAATCAAGCACATAAAAACCTCAGTGGTGTTTGCAGTGAGGGTATTAAGCTCCTTGATCATGGGATCATTACTACCCAGATTTCTTTAAAAGTTAAGAGCAGGCTCATCTCGGAAAATCCTGGCCTCCAATGCCCATGTGCCCATCAACTCAAACAGATTTTCAGGGACAATATAAGTAGACTTTTAAAATCATGGTCTAGTTCAACTAATTATGCATCCATCCAGCGGGTATGAATTGAGAAACTGC